ATTTACCTCTACGCCCCAGCCTTGAACGTGTATCCCACGGCAGCATGATCAGGGCCTGAGTGGACAAGCTAGGGGCCTGGCCCCTCCTGCCCACCAGGGAGCCCTCGAAGGGGCAGTCTTTCTCCAGGTCTTCCTGTGTCACTGAGACATTGGCGTGTCCCACTGCAGTCTGGGGCTCACCTGTCCACGCCTGCTCCTTCCTTCCACTTCTCACCTTTCACCTTTCAACCTGTTGCCTCCACATCCCCCTCCCCACACTCCTGATCTCTGATGGCTTCTACAGGACCTGTTCCTACCCCAGCCTAGGCCCTTGGACTTCTTCACCTGGCGCAGGTGTGTAGGCCTGGGAAGTCTTTCTTATCGTGCACAGAGGCTGAGAGGGCAACCCTGGGGGTCAGGGTGGATGCTGTAGAGTCTCAAAGGACAACGTTAAAGAAGAACCAGTGCTTGCCATGTGCTGGGCACCATTTTAAATAGTGTTTTCTATTCATCATTTCAATTGGGCCTCACAAGCACAAATCGAGGGAGGAACTGATGGTATTTTACAGATGCGGAAACCAGGACCCAGAGAGATCCAATGACTTCACTGTCCAAGTCACAGAGCTATTGAACGCAGCACTGGGATTCCAGCCCGGGTGGTCTGGCTCCAGAACATTCATTCTCAGCCACACCTCCATGGCAGGGGCTGGGACACGGCTGCAGAGGGCAGGAAGGCTGCACAGGGGGCCTTTGAGAGCTCTGCTGTCTCCTTTGAAGGCCCAGCCACTCTGTCAGAACTGCCATCTGTCCGGCAGGCCTCAGCCAGATCCACGTCCCAAGGAAGGGGAAATGGGAGGGACACAGGGGGACAGCCCAACACTTGTCCTACCGCCCTGAGGGGCAGAGGTCAGGCCCTGCTCCCTGCACTTGGTGTCACAGTGCTGATTCTGCTCAGTTCCTCTTCAGCGCCACAGTCAGTGCAGAACTAAAGTCAGTCAGTGCTGATGCTGAGCGGCTACGGGGCCCCTCCCTATGCGAGGAAGAAATTTCCTCCCTGTTGTGCAGTCCGGGGGCTTCTCAGAAGCACTGCCCTGCAGGGGTGACCTACAGCAGCCCCTCTTCTTTCTTTTAATCTCGTTGGTGCCAGACAAACCCGAGTTTGGATCCAGCTCTGCCCCTTCCCAGTGGTGCGTCCTTGGTCAAGTTAATGGCATCAGTTGATTATCACTGTTACCGGCCACCTCCAAGCCTATGGCCTGAAAGGACAACTACGAGTGGTTTCTTAAGAGTTTCTGGGTTGGCTGGGCAGTGAGTTCTGACGAGGGCTGGTCTTGGGCTTAGCTGCGGGCTGGCTAACGGGCGATGCCTGTGGTGGTGGCACCTGCGCCTTGTTCCACCCTGGCAACCAAGGCTTGAAACTTCACAGCATTCTGTCCCTTTCTGGCCAGCATTATCAGCCTGTGCACACAGACACCTGGCGGAGAGCTCGGAGCCTGTTGTGGGGATGTGAAGGCAGCAGGGAAGTAGAAAGTTTTAAAAGTTCTTACATACTTAGTAAAACTTGTGCTCCATGATAGTCCTCTGAAAACTAAATTTATAGAGTATAAGAGGCAGAGGGTTAAATTTGCCTCCAGAGAAATCCACCTCTTCAACCTGGAAAGCTGTGCATGGGGACAGTTACTTCCTGTAAGATCCCCTCCCAGCTGATGAAGTTTCCGAAGCAATCCAGGACGGAGAAGCCAAGTGCTGTGTTTATTCATGCTTTCATTTGCCTACTCAGTCATTCACTTATTTAAGGAGCCCCTCTGGAAATATTTCTCAAGAGCCTATTGCGTGTGACATTACATAAGAGAAATGGCACAATCAACAGGTTGGATGTAACAGGAAATGCCATTCCTGCCAGCTGGAAGATCCCCTGAGATGGGCCGGTGGGTGTTCTTCCTTGTGAGCTTGGCCCTTTGCCTAAGGGCATGAGGTGTCATGCAAAAGCTTTAGGCTGAGTGCAGAGTGAATGGGGAGGGTAGACATGGCAGAGCACGGAGGAGGGCGACCAGCTAGGAGATGTTCCAAGCATCCAGCCCATTGGTGTTGCCCTGGGCCACCATGGCAGCAGAGGTGGAGAGAGTTGGATGACTAGAGAGAGATAAGAGAGGCAGAACTGGTGGGACTGGGCACCTGGTGGGATGAAAGCTCAGGGAGGGGGAGGCGTGATGTCTGACACTCATTTTCTGTCTACAGCGCTGACAGGAGGGAGCCATTTGCAGGGATGGGGAACAAGAGGAACAGACAGTAGAGCAAGCTTGGAGGAAGCTGGGTAGGGGCAGTTGGCCATGAGCTGGATACACATGCGAGGGCTCCAGAGAGAGGCCTGCACTCCAAGGATAGCCAGGAGGGTCAGTAGCTCAAGGATGGAGTTCAAAGCCACGAAGAGGAAGCACAGGGTATGACCAGGCTGCAGCCATGCCTGGGATTCTGGTGGCCATGGCAGGGCGGATAGTTCCTTTTCTGCAGGGATTTTGTAAACTGTTTGTTCCTGTGCAACGAAGGGTGGTGTGTGTGTGTGTGTGTGTGTGTGTGTGTGCAAGAGAGAGAGAGAGAGAGAGAGAGAGAGAGAGAGAGAGGCAGATCTCGCAGAAGAGTAGGTAACAAAGGCATTTTGGGAGAATTGCAGTCATAACCTTTATTTCTTAACATGTTATCCTTTTCTCCCACGATACATAGTGCAGTGGTTTTTTTGCTCTTGGGATTAAAACAAACAAACAAATAAATCTCTAAGTGTGGTCGAGGACCTTCAATGTGTGGCCTCAGTTTACTCGGGAGAGCTTCCTGGTTGCCTGCTATGCTCACCTTGAATTTTGGCTTTAGCCCATGAAGCTTTTGTTTAGTCTTTTATTACCTACCCTTCCTCCTGCCACAGGACCTTTGCCCATGTCAATTTCTCTGCCTAGGTCCTTTGCCTCCTCTCTTCATCTACTTAACATCTGCCCTTCCCCCCTGATTCTTGGGACTGAATCCCTTACATGTTCCCAATGTACCATTTGGATCTCCTTCCCAGCATTTGTCACATTTGTTAGTAATTATTTGGTTAATTTAATTTCTTTATCCTAAAATCTTCTTGTGGTGTCTCCATAAACCCCCTTAGCACAGTGCCTGGTGTGAAGTTGAGATTTCATGAGGCCAGTCATGGGGGTGCATCCCAGAACTGTAGGAAGCTGAGGCAGGAGAATCTCAAGTTCAAGCCAAATCTGGGCAACTTAGCAAGACTCTGTCTCAAAATTAAAAATAAAAAGGCCTAGGGATATAGTACAGTTTGATGACCCTGGTTCAATCCCCAGTACCACACAAACATACACACATAGGAATAACCCAGGAGAGACTATGAGCCCAGGCTTGGCAGAGCTCAGCATGGGTCAAGGCCCACATTCAACAGCAAGCTGTCATTAGCAATGAACTCTAGAGGGTGCAGGCGCGAGGAATTCAGGAGGGTTGATGCCCTTGTCCAGGCCTAGGGACAAGTCAGCATCCTTAGGGAGGGGAGAAGGGGTTTGTTTCCCCAGCAGGAAGAAGTCCAGGTCACCATCTACCATTCTTAGAGGAGGTAATGAGGATGGAGGATCCAGGCCTGAAACCACAGGGAAGACCCTTCCCTCTCTAGCGGCCTCCTCGCTTCCTTTCCCTCAGTCCGCCCCACAGTTCTTCCTGTTTGCTCGGCTGGCACCTCCCTCTACCAAAGAGCCAGAGTCAGTTAAGCCCCATCACACTTGGTGTTTGATAAGATAAATGAAAAACCTTAGAAACCCTTTTCTGTTTCCAACTCTATTTTCCTGACTCTGTCTTCCCAAAGAGGCTCAGGAAGTCAGCTCTGAGAGTGAGATGGTATAGCTGACAGTGTTTCAGGCAGTGCCCGCCCTTTCCTTCCCTTAGGCAAAAACTTCTTGGAACAGACAACAGGTTTAAGAGAGAGCAGGTGCTGATAAGATGCAGGCGATACATGTTTGCAAATATGTGATGAGTCCAGGAATCCCCAGTATGGCCTAAAACGACTTCCTCTCTGACCTATCATGTCCCCATCCATGTGCCAGAAAAGGAGCATGATTGTACAGGCTTCAGTCAAACTAAGGTCACTGGCATTCCAGTCCCCTGCAACTCCAGTCGCTTGAGGGTCAAAGCCTTCCTGCTCCTTGATATATGGCAAGAGTGCTGGGGTACATTATGGCAACTTCTGGAGGTACATTTGGGTGCTGGGTGGCTGGATGTCTAGAGCCCTGAGGTGATCCACTGAGGTGATCCACTGAGGTACACTCATTTATCTCGTGCCTGGGGTGTGGGACAATGGCCAGAAATATTGGTCACTCCACCCCTCGGCCCTTCCCGGGTCCTAACTTTGGCTCTGCCATTTGCAGTTGACCTGAAGCAATTCTCACCAAGCTGAGACTGAACTTGGGAACAACGACACCGTGGGAGGCCCTTCCAACAAATTCTCCAAGATTGCACACGGGGGTGGGGGGATCATGGGATCTCATTCAGGGGGGACATGGACATAGCAGAGAGGACCTATGCCACTCAGAGAGACAGAATAGCTCACCTACTTGGTTTAATTCCATCATTTATTCAATAAGCATTCCTGAGACTCTCCTGGGGTGGATAAAGCAGACAAAAATCCTAGTAATTATGGGGCTCACATCCTACTGAGAACTAATCTCCAGGCTGAAAGGTACAATTCAATTTATCCTGCAACCTGGTGCCACCTGCAAGCCATTCTCTTCATTTGCTGCCCGGCTGGGGGGAGCTCACTCTGAGAGATGTCAAATGACTGAAGGGAAGCTCAAAGCCAGCTGTGGCCACAGGCGACCTTCACTTTTCCCCGTCGTGCCCTCCGCCCTCACCGCGACCCTGGACTACAGACTGTGAGGCTGCCCCTGAGTGCCTGGGCGTGGGAGAGTTCAGTGAACTGGCGCACCACTGAGTGGGGACACGGACACAGGGTGGGAGCTGCCAGCTCAGAGACATTCAGCTACAGCCAGTGATGCTGCCTGGCGGCACTTTGATTTTTATTAATGACCTCCAGCACCTGCTCAGCCAGTTCCAGGGAACCTTCACAGAGTCCTTTCCTTCCCACGTGTGTGTGAGCCCAAGGCCATCTTGGCGACAGAGTGGTGACTTCAGGGTTTCGAGATCAGCTGCACTCCACGCCGGCATCCTCGCTGTGGCCACAGTTGTGAGATCCCCAGGCGCTCTTGTTGCAGCTCCACAGGGTAGACTCAGACCCCTGGCAAGCAACATCATCCAGCCAGATCTTCCCAGTGCCTTGAGACAGAGGAAGCAAGAGAGAGCAGACTTTGGCTCATAGTCAAAGCAAAGGAGCTTCCATCTTGGGCAGACCAACAATGCTCAGGGCTCGCCTGGTATCTGAGAGGGACTCTGGTGTCACCCAAGATAAAAGCTATTTTAATATATATACTATTGAACTCTCCACCTAGAGGGTCTCCAGCCTTCTGTCTCCTCCCTGCTAATTTACTGCTGTAACCTTTTCTTAAATGCCTTTTAAGGCATTTGTATCTTTGTCAAACCCCCTTTCTTCTGATATAATTGAATGTATGCAATTGACATAATTGTCAGATTTTTTTGGTTAGCTGTTTACACTACAGTGTGACTTTACACATGCTTAAATATATGAAGAAAATGTGTATGTAAAGTTATATAGTCCAACTGGATCCAGATTAAAAAGTAAGTTTGCACTTTGATGTGGGGTAAAGGCAGAGGGCATCTGGGGGTGGTTATCATGGAAAATGGTCTAGGGCCCTGGGGGGTGTCAGATCTTATGGCCAAGGGAAGAGCTTAGGTTAAGTACTTTGGTGAAGGTTTGAACTTTGGTTGGGGAAAAAAAGATATAAACTGAGCTGATTGCTAGCACCCCAGGTCATCTTACTCAGATTGGTCTTTCCTGCTCCAATTGGTTTTATATTGTCTTCCAGCCCCACCCCCTTTTGGCGGTACTGAATATGGAGCACAGGGCCTCATGCATGCTAGCAAGGCTCTGTCACTGAGCCCCAGTCCCAACCTTCCTATGTACTCTTTAAAGATGATCACAACCAAGCCTGTGGGCTGGTCCAGACTTCTGGCTGCCATACAGCTACAGTGAGTTACCTGCCCTCCATCCCCTGCGTTCTGTAGAGAGAGAACACCCCGGTGAAGGGCCAGGTGGAGCTCTGAATGCAGGACTGGACAGACACTGACCAGACCAGGACAGCCACAGCCTCACAAGGACTTCAGTGTCACTTCTAGGGACAAGATGACATCTCTCTGTTGGGGTGGCCAAACTACATGGAGGTGAAATCTAGAGCCCTGAGCTGCAGAACTTTTCAGTTGCTTGAACCAATACTTTTAACCTAAGCCACACTGAGTTACTGACAATCACAGGTGACAACACACCACGCCAGCACCTTCTGGGTAGATGTCCTGGGTGATGATGCACTTACCACCTCCGTAAGAGCCAAGTGCTTTTCCCCTGCTGTAACCCAGCATGCGGCAGAAGACAGTGGCATCAGAGTTATCCCAGCCATCATCACAAATCGTCCCCCAGATGTTTTCATAGTAAACTTCAGCCCGGCCTCTAGCACTACTGCCGACGATCCTGACGGATGAGGCATATGAGCCTGGATGAAAAAAGATAGGTGGGGAAGGTGCCGACACACCAGGGCCTGTGTTAATGCTGGCTCTCCCTGTTCACCTGTGGAGGATCTACAGTCTCTCTGCTTGGCTCTCACCAGAGCCTGGAGGAAAGAATCCTACCTTTTGGAACGGACACAACCTGGCATCCCACCTGCATGTGCTGGGGTTTGCGGCACAAGGCCATAGGAGTAGGTGCCTCCGTGGCTGGTCTTGCCAATCTTCCAGACCACATTTAGCCACATGTTGCAGAGGGGAAAAAAAAGAGTTAAGGAAATGGAAGGGAGGAAAGAGTGGAGGGAGAGATGAAGAGAGGAAGAGATGGAGGCAAGGAGTGGAAAGGAAAGAGGAAGAAAGGAAGAGAAAAAGGGAGAGAAGGAGGGAGAGAGGTGTGCTGCTGCCCTGTGTCTACCTACCACGGACAGGTTTTTCAAGACAGGTGTCTGTCAGCTTTTCCCCAAGGTGAAGAATGTCTTTGAGAACCAAGCTCTCTCCCCACCAACACAGACATGATTTTCCAGAAGTGAATTGACCCCAAAGCACAAATTAAAAAGAATAGAAATGTCAATTACCTTTTTCACCTCTTTCTCCTTTCACTCCCTTTTCTCCTTTCTGCCCAGAAGATCCTGTTGTGAAGAGAAAACCCACACAATTTAAACTGTCCCCTTCCAGGGCCCCCTCCTCTTTTGCTAGCTGTGGGCAGGAAGGTGAGGACAGGAGGATGGAGGGATGGTGAGGTCAATCGCTCTTTTCCATCTTTGTAACCAGCGTCAGAGGGACTGGATGTGCATGGGCACCAATGGCTGAGCAAGAAGAAATGGGCCCAAGCTGCGCCAGGAAGGATGGAAATTAGATTAGAGAGGGGTGTTTGGTAAGAGACATGGAGTGGGACAGGGGCATCGCCTTCAAGGACAGAAGTAGGCAGTCATGGGTGCTGGTCAGGGACAAGAGCGTGTGAGGCTCATATGCCTGCCCACAGGCTGGCCTTGTGGAGGGCCGAGCTGTGCCTGGCTTACCACTGTGTGATCAGTGCCCAGGGCCAGACCAGGCATGTAACTTACCAACTGAATGAACTGACATGTACCTGCCTGGGTTGTGCAAATCCCCTTAAAAGCAGAGTCTTACCTTTCTCTCCTTGGTCTCCCTTCTGGCCGACTGCTCCAGGTGCTCCTTGGGAGCCTACCAGCCCGGGGATTCCCCTTTCTCCTTTTGCTCCCACCGATCCTGAAAGGAGAGAGAAGTCACTCCCATAGATAGCCTTCTCTGCCTTCCCAAGGGGGTCCCAAAGGCCCTGACACTTAACGAATGAGTATTCTCTAACTCCCACCTGCCCCATGCACGGGTTGTGTGCACATTCAGCCAGCACCTCAGGGCCAGCTCAGGCTGTTCTGCCCCCTGACTCCCACACTGACACTGTTGAGAACATGCAAATGGAAATGGTGAGCAGAGTTCCAGAGATTATCGGTCCTCAGCCGATTACAGAATTGTATGGGAGTTTGAGCCATTCTAGAATTGGCTAGAATATTTTTAGAACTCTGTGTCTCCTTTACTGAATTAAATAGTAATAGACAATGCAGTTCATGAGGAAGAGAAATTGTTCCAGAAATTCATCTGAGAAGTTTTGCTTTAGTACGTGCTATGGTTTGGATATGGTAGAGCATGTCCCAGAAGGGTTCCTATCCTCACTGTGATAGTAAGAGGACATGGAACTTTTGGTGAGAAGGGTTGGCAGGAAGTCCTTAGGAGAACTGGGGGGCCTTTTCTTCAGATGGGATTATGGTACCCCAGCTTCTTTTGCTCCCTGTCTGGCAATGAGATCTTTTCCTGTTGCATGTGATTCCACTATGATGACACCATTTGCCATGTGGCCTTCTTTGAGGCTGAGCAGAAGCCACCACCATGTCCTTGAACCTCTAGAACTGTGAGCTTAGCAAATCTCTTTCCACTTACAATTGTCTGCCTCAGGTATTTCATTATATTAATGAAAAACAGCCCAATGCATCACTCATTAGGAGTATGCTGTTGAGAAGACTAGACATGATGTGTAGTAGGTGCTGAACTCAGTAACCAACTACAAGCAAGGATTTCATAGGCAAGGATGCTAACAAGAATAATGTCCTAGTGACAACCAGCAGAAGGATTACAGGAGAGTCTTGTACAATCACCAAAAGGAAGAAAAAAACAGATCAAAACTGAGATGGGGAAACTCCCAACCCTGTGGGAGATGGAGGCTGCCTAGCTCCATGGTGGCTATACAGGTTGAAGCCACCACCTGCAGCATCAGCTCTCCTGACATTTTTATCCTTTGCCATTCTCAGCCCTTGCCCCACACCCTACAACCTTGAGTCATCAGGTTCCTACTGTTCTCCTTGTTTTCCAGGGAGGAACAGAGGTTTGGATGGCAGAGCCCTAGAATCCCAGCCTCAGCTTTAGGGTGAAGGTCACAGCTGTGTGTTCAAAGTCAACAAGACTCGACTTCCAGCTGCACAAACCTCTCCAGTCATCATTCTGAAGAATTAAAATGAAGCCAGCCCTTTACCTGGGACTCCTGATTCTCCTTTTGTTCCCTTTTGTCCTTGCATTCCTAAAATCAAAATAAAGAAAAGGAGAGACGATAATAAAACTTAGATATTAGACATTTTTAATCTTAGACAACCTCTACCTTTTGTCTGATTAATGCAGATGGAAAGATACATTGGTTCTCCCCAATTGTTTAAAGCCTTTCCAGCAGAGAATGAAAGGAGACAGACTGCAGAAAAATGAGCATGGGTGTGTTGGAGTGAAATAGCAACCTGCTGGTGAAAGCCTGGGGTAGACAAACCCCAGCCTCACTGACTGTCCTTCCTTGTTCACCAGTAACCTGCCTTCATGTCTAAATCCAATCCTATTTCTTACTGTTGTATTTTGTCAAGAGATACTTACTGAAGAAAATTGAGAAATATCTCAGAAACAAATATCTTGATTTCCAAAAGACTTTGAAGTGGACTTTGTAGCCACTAGGAGTTTGAAGGACCCACACCCATAACAGATGCTCCATAAATATTTGTTGATTTATTCTTCGTGGCTCAGCTGGCTAAATAGTCATGTGGTTAAAGGGTCTCCGGTTCAGAAAATGGAAAAAGAATAACTGCAGTCATTGGCAGTGATTTTTTATTTATATTTGCAGTGAGAGATCCCCCCTCTTTTTATGCCTCCTTCCTTTCCTTCCTTACTTCTTTCTTGACAGCCACTCATCCCTTTATTCCATTAACTGTCATGGAACACCGCTTGCCCCACACTCTGCCAGGCTACTGTGAAATCCTAATTTATATATTTAGCAACATCATGGTCTTTCAACCATAAAGGTCAATATTGTTTCCATTTCAGAACAATAGCACTTCCCAAGACAATTATACAAACTTGGGAAAATGCAAGTTCATTGATGACTCTTAAGTGGCAGTTACTAGAGGGTAACAAGGGGTTGGTGAATCAGCTAGTGAGGAGTGTCCGTGCTTAGGCCACACCCTTGCTGAGCTCCCCGCCTGGGACACAAGCCTAGCCCTGACCATAGATTTGCCCTTCTGATGACCACTGGAAACCACAAGAGCTCCATTATCCTCACTACAGTGGCTTGGGGAAGTTCCTCCCTTTCGACCCCTATCATCTACTTCATTGCCTAAATTTTCTGAGCACCTACAGTGTGCGAGTCAGAGAAAAGCAAGGTGAAGGGCCTGCCAGGCCTCTTGAGAATTCCAGATGATGTCCCAGTGCTTGGTGCTGCCTGGGAGGAGCATTAAAAAGCCAAGAGAAGTCAGAAGTTCTAGGAGGGCAACTACTCCAGCCTTAGGGCTGGGGACAGAGCTGATGCTAGGAGAGGCTTTTCCAAGAGTGGAAGGAGCCTTCGTGTCCAGGCTCTGGCCCCAGCACAGCCCAAGCATTGGTATACACCCTGATCCCTCAGATTCAAATGACACAGCCCTTAGGTTTACTCAGAGAACTTAGATTCAAAGATGTCAGCTGTTAACATCTGAAGCCTTCCCTGGCCTCACCCCATCAATGACATGTTTTCTCCACAGCATTACAGCGAAGTGGTTTCAGATTAGCACTTGAGTCTGCCTCTGCCTTGCCCTGCCTTTGCGACTTTGGTGTGGGTGTACCTGCTTGGGGCCTCAGTCTTCCTGTCTGAGTCTGCTCATTGCCTCATGAGGCCGTCATGAGACTAAATGAAGTAGCAGATGCCCAGGTTTGAGCACTGTGTCCATCCAGAGCTGAAGAAAAATAGGACCAAGAGGACACTGTGGGTCATTTCCATGTGTGTCTCCCCTTGAGGTGAAGACTGTCTTGGGCACAGGGGTGGAACCCCATCTGAGCACCAGGAAGTGTTTGCTGTTGACCTGAAAGGACTTAGCAGTGGTCACCCAACAGTGGGGGTAGATGTTTGTGCTTTCCCTATGTGCATCTGAAGAGCAAATGTCAAGAATAGGAGGAAAGGTCATGTCTAGAAATATGTATCTTGTGGGCATTAGATGGGAAAGCAGTCCACATGCAGATTCCTAACATTCTTTCCCAGTGCTAGAGGGTACCATGTTACAGGAATCTCATCCTCAAGAGCCTGTCCCCAGAAGCAAAGTTCATGGTCCCCAGGACACTGTAACCTTCCCTTACTGTCCCCATTGAAAGACATACACTTCTCCAGCTGTCCTTTAAAACTCTGTGTTATGGTTTTTATCTAGGTATGCCCCTAAAGCCTCAGGCACTCATAAGCTCATAGATGGTGCTTTTTGGAGGTGGCTGGATCTAAGGTGCATGAATATGGAGTAAGGGTGTATGAAAACTAAATTACTCCATTCATTGGTTAAGTTTAGTTCTAGGTATGGATAATATGAAGTCCCACCCTGGGTGTGGGGAGCACCAACCAATAGGCTTATAGCCTGGATGCAATATAAAGGGACAGAAAGAAGGCAGGCCTACTGCCTGCTCTGCCATGGACGGTTTTTCCTCTGCCTTGTCCCTCTGCCATGCCACCTTGCCTTGGAGCCAGATGAATATGGACTGAAACCTCTACACACTGAGCCAAAATAAATCTCTCCTCTTTTAATTTGGGGGTATCAGGTATTTTGTCCCAGCAACAACAAAGTAACTAAGACACAGTGTAAGACTAACAACCTCTACAAGACAGGAATATCAGAGAATCCCCAGCTTGTGAGGCCCGTGGCCCCATGCCTGACCTTACCCCCAAAGTTTCTCACACTCGCTTCCCAGCCCTCTCTCAGGGGCTCAGCATGTGCTGTGGCTGCACCATGCCAGGGACTTTACACACACTACCTTCCTTCCCTTTTTCAGCCGCCCTGCAAGGCAATGTTATTTTCCTCCCTTACAGAGGAAGAAGTCAACACTCAGATGCTAAGTGATTTATTGAGGTCACACAAGAGTGAATGGTGATGTTGAGCTGCTACCCAGGCTCATTCTCCACTGTGCCCTGTGGCTGCCTTTCTTCCACCACATGCCAGGCTCACCCCTTCCTAGAGCTTTACTCGAGCTGTCCATTTGGTTCCAAGGACACCTCTAGGCTCTCTTGAGTGATCCCTTTCCCCTAAGAGAGCGGAAGTCAAAGTGGTGTATGATCAAAATGAGATTTGTTTTAAAAGCAATTCACTAGGTCCACTCAGAGTTGTTGACTGAGTGAGACAGGAGTGGGAATGTGAGAATCTGCATTTCTAATAAGTGATGCTGCTGCTGCTGCTGCTGCTGTGGCTGCTGGTGCAGAGACCACACGCAGTGCCCTGACCAAATCTCACTCTGTTCAGGGACCAGCTCACAGCCCGCCTCCTCCAAGCAGCCACTCTGTCCCCACAGAATCTCCCACCACCCCCCATGCTGGAACTCTCCTTGAGCCATGTCTGTCTGGCAGGGCTTGGCCCTTGATGAAATGCCTTCTGAGATGTTTTTAATGGCCGTCAGTTTTGTCCTCAAAACTCCCCCTTCAAAAGGAGAAAATTAGAATCATGTTTTGTGTGATTTCTTTCTAAGCCTCACTGGACTCTAAGGAGGCCCTGGTGGAATGGCTGCTCACTAAGGATCAAAGGACAGTGTTCATCACCCTCCACTGAAGTAGCACCCTGACTGGATCATCTAATGCATGTTGGGAGGGTCAAGTGGCTGGAAAACAGGATCTAGAAAACTGCATGTCCTAAAACCATACAGGGGAAAAATGCGTGTGAGGTAATTCTTGAACCACAAGCAAACCGGTTTTCACAATCTTAGCAAGCTGAGAGGGCACAAATGTTCATTTTCAAGGTATTTTTAGAGAAATGATTTCTTCACCCAAGAAAATAGTTGGATAGCACAAGTCTTCCTCATATGTAGTGGTCTGTGGGTGCTCTGATTAAAATCATAGCTTGTGCTCTGAGGGTAAATGGCCAGAGTGTTGTCAAAGTGGTAGGAATCTGGATGTTCCTCCACACTACTCAGACACCACGCAGAAGGAAACCGAGGCCCACCGTGAGCAAGTTCCGGCCCACAGTTAGCCGTCTGACCAGGAGCAAGTCCAAGTTGAAGATTAAATTTCCTGATTTTTTAGTTAAAGGTAGAAATTTCCAATACACTGAGAAACTTCCCTAAATATCATCACAGTGTATGGGCCAGGTTCAGCTTAGTAGATTTAGGGGGACCTAGAATTGAGTTAGGGGTAGACTTCTGCTCTAAGAAACTTAGAGGAAAATTAGGAGAGTTTTATAAGTGACCATTAAGTAATTTGGTAGGACTTAATTCTTGAACTACCCAAGTACTTAGATAGGAGGAGTGGAATTAACTAAGAAAGTATATTTATGTCATAGAACCTAATTGCTATTATATACTATTTTTCTTGCTCATCTTCAAATATTTCAAAATGCAGATGAAAACAAGGTTTTCAAGTTATTTGCACTTGTGTTTTTCCTCAAGAGTAAAATAAAAGCACATACGAAATTTTGATTGTTATATTTCGGCCACTGAGATGAAGGATTTTGATCAAATTGGTATTTTGGACCTTAAATGTTTTGTTGCTTCTAATATCACTTCAGGCAGTGGAAGTGGTCAAAAAATAAATGCCACAATTCCAAACTGCTTCCTTATTTCCAAACTTTGCTTTTCAATGTAGCTAAGGGATGTAGAACAAAAATTTGGTTATTTATTTATTTATTTATTTTTTTTTTTGCAATCTTTTGAAAGAGAAAAGGCTAGAAACACTGAGATTAAGGGATTGGATAAAAGTCTGTTCCTGACAGGTGAATGAAATTCACACTGGAGAAAGTTCTGGTAGGTATATCTTACCAATAAGATGTGAAGTTTATCTTCCCCCCAAGAAATATGGAATCTCCTTTCTCCTTCCCTCAAGACGTACAAACATATTCCACCTGAATCAGTTGGAGCATGGCTAGGGACAGTCAACAAACTAGGAAGGTTCCGTGACTGAGCCAAGACTTACCCTTCTATCATGGAGATTCAGGACATGGACAGGGCAACTCTGATTTCTTTCAGGTTCTATTCTATGCTGTTCTATACAACTAATTATAACAACTCTACATCGTTCCATACGACAAAATATAACAACTTTATGTCATTCTATATAAAATCTGTAAACACACACATTTAGACCCAGATTTTGAGATTAACTCTCAGACCAAGTGTGTGCTAACCACAAGCAAAGGATTTACCCTTTCTGAGCCATTGTTTCCTTAGTTGCAAAATAGAATGAAAAACTCAGCTGTGTGGATAGATGAAGTAACACCATGGGAGTAAACTCCTGAGCACAGTGCCCAGGCCAGAGAAAAACTTCATAACAAATGGATCTCTTGTTATTTATAATTAATGCTCACTGATGAAATCTAGCTGTCACCTAGGTCAAACCATTGAGCTGTAATTTCTGTTTTCATCCAAAGTGACTAGATATGTTCTTGAGAGATTAATGGTTTTATTTACAAAATGGGTAATACATTAGCTCGACAATCTGGCTGATATATTATGGACAATCACCATAGCAGCTTTTGTTTGGGGAATACCAACATGCTGACATTGGCAAGTGTACACTGTCTTCCATGATGAGGAGGTCTGGCTCGCACACACCCCTGCCCCGCCTTCTCTTACTTTAGAGCTCATCAAATCTAATCTTTCCAGAAATTCATAAGCCTATACCTCCAGCACCATATACCAACCAGAGTATGGTCCTGGGGGCCTATAGTTCCCCTGGTGGGAATCTCACTATCTACTTGATAAGGCAAGCATCTGGACTTGGGTGAGAAACTTATCTCATTTTACAAAAATGTTAATTATCATACATCCTAAATTAAAATGTAATTCATCATGTTTACTTGGGCAGCAAGAACTAGGGGGTAAACCCTAGAATATGACCGGTTGGTTCTTATCACTCGGGCTGCTAGATGTAGAATCCATACTCATATGTGCGCTATGGTGTCTGTGCTAAAGCTGGTATGTGATCTTTGATGAGTAACTCAGAACAATTTCAGAGCCTGAGAGCTTCATGTTTCTTCTTAAGAGTGAGAGAAGCTGTTACTGCCTCTCTCTGATCCTTTCTGAACAGGCATGGAGGGAGAAGGTGTCACCCAAAAGAGAGGCTGAGGAGGAAGAGCCCAAGACAGAGTGCAGTGGATAAGCCCCCAGCTTTTGAGTCAGCACGGCCTAGATTCCAACCGTGTCTGCACATCTTACGGTTCTTGACCTTGGACAACTTACTGTCAAATACCACTAACCCAAGTGCTTATCCCCCTGGATTGTCACAAAAATGCTCCTTAGCAGGCACTGCTCTTGTGACACCAGCCCGCCCAGGGTACAGGGTGAGGGGCAACATGCTCTACCCTCAGGAAGCAGAAGGCTCAACCTTGGGCTCTGGGGTGTGGGCACAGGGCCTCTGTAAGTAAAATTATGTTTTACTCCTAATGCTCCTTGGTAAAGAGCTCTGGATCTGGCAATGAGGGGGAGGGCAGAATGCAATTACTATGTATAACTTAGGGAGGAAAGCAGTCACTTCCAGGAAGGTACACAGAAAACGGAGGGGCTAGAAGCTTCAGAGGCAAGTCAGGTGGACCCTAGTCAGGAGACCAGAGAGTATGAGGCATAAGATTGGAAGGGACACCTGACTTTCACACTCAGAGAGAGCCTCTCTTATGGTGACCTCTGAGAGGCCTCTGCATGGGATCAGCTAGGGGAGCCCCTGCACACACCAATGTACAATGTGTGGAAAGAAAATGGCTTTGAGCTTGATGGAGCAGAGGACAGAGGAGGAGGAGGAGCTGCTTTCATCATGGCTCCTGACAATGTTCAGGAAAACTCCAAAGCTCACAGCCCACAACTCAAGGATCACTAGGCGGTAGTGACGAATGAATGGCCAATCAACCCACTACTTGATCAGATAGAACTGTGAGGCCCTGGTGTGGGCCTGTAGCATGGCCTGACGATGAGGAATTACTATGCACTTGGTCTGGCAAACCATGATCTTCTGCTCCAGCAGAAGAGGTCAAGGCAGGCTGTCCACACACATCCTTGGCAGACATGAGCCCTTTCTCACCACCCTGTGCCCCACACCGCCACAGAACTACTGCCTGCACCTGGCACTCCCCACTGCAGCATCCAAGAAGTGCGCCTGCAGTCTGTCTCCCACACTTCTCCAGGTTGTATGGGGGAATGGTGAGGGGCTGGCACCCAACGCAGACTGTCTAGACTCAATGGAAACAATGGAGGGACCTGAACCTGAAGACTGGGCGACATTAGCAGAGCGGTTTATAAAGTAGAGCACCTTGGAAGGGCAGCATATAGTCCAGATTAAACTGGCTGATTGTTTATAACCTAGACTATACTGACACAACAGTATAAAGACTAAGTTGGCATCATGGCTTTAACCTAGTCTCTGTGAGTTTCATTATTGTAGGCCAGTGTTTGCTTTGCCTGTCCCTTAGGATAATGTGCAAGAGGGGTTTCTTGACCCTCTTGTTGAACCCAGACTGCTGACCAGCACCCCCAAAGGTCAGAAGGAATGAAAAGTATGCACACAGCTAGCTGAGTGGCAGCCCAGGGCAAGATGTCCTGCTCTCCTCCATTATGCTGGAGCTTTGGTACTGGCATTCAAGGCCCTCCAGGAACCCAGCGCAGAGATAGAACAGCCCAAAACCCTTGGGCTCAAAGGGCTAGAGGTAACTGCCTTCTTTCATTAGGAAGCCTCAGGGATCAGAACACTGGAGACCTCCACTTTCTTCCATGGGCTGCTAGGAGGCCTCCAACTCCATCGGTTGTGACACGCAGCACCTCACACACACACCTACTCACCCAGCACCTCACACACACACCTACTCACACCCCATTACCTGGATCACCCTTGCTTCCTTTCACGCCCTCAGGTCCTCGATCCCCAGGTCTACCCGGTGCTCCTAGAAGACAGACACCATAGAGGGCATCAGGGCTGGGCAGTGCCCAAACGTCACTCCCCAGGCCTACTGTAAGATGCAAGATCTCACCTGCTACTCCAGCCGTGCCAGGGCTGCCACGTTCACCCTTGGGCCCCAAAGGTCCTGCTGCTCCGGGAGGGCCTGGAACACCTGGCGCTCCAGCTTGTCCTGGAAGTTAAGCGGTGATTATGAGGCTGATGGTCATTGGCAGAGGGCCTGGATGACCTCCCCCGGTGAGACATGTGCTTCTTAATACCTTCTAATCCCTCGGCAGCTGTAAACTGTGTCTTTAGAAGCCATGAGCTAGCCCTATTAGTGGGAGGATAATTAGCATCAGCAACTATCTTCCATTTGTTGCTGCAGCTTTGGTGATTACAGATAATTAGGATCTCTGGGTGTGGATGTCCAGCTCTACACCCATGGGTGTGAATGTCCAGAGTAAGGTCCACTAAGAGTGCTATCAGTTAAGCCTGTCCTTTGTTGGAGGGACTAGGTTTTCAAGAAGCCCCAGTATTTCATCCTGGTTAATACTTTGATGAAATAAAAGATGGTGGAGTCAGGTCCCTAACTTGACTCTGCCCAGGGACTGTAAAGGCTAGAATGAAGCCCAGTGGCCCCCATTTCCTACCTCGATCACCTTTGGCTCCAGGAGATCCAGCGACACCTAAAATGAAGGAATACTTTTAGGAATATTTTTTTTTTGACTCAGCTTCCTAGAGAAAAAGGGAAATAGTGGCTGCTCCATGGCTCTGGCCTCAAGGGCTCTTACCTGGTAGACCTGGCTTCCCTGAGTCACCTTTGCTCCCCTGGGGCCCGGGGGGCCCCATGACCCCTGTGTCTCCCTTCATGCCCATGTTCCCTTTGCTCCCTGAAAAAAGAAGGAGTTGAAGTCAGTCATGGAAGGTGGACAAACCCAGTCAGAGACTCCCACCCCAACACTTCCTTCCCATCCACATTCTAAACTCAAAACTCCTTGAGCTCCTACTTGGTGCTCAGAAGTGGAATTAGTGACTGCATCTCTCAAGAAGCCCCTGGAGACAGGACATAAACTCATGAGCAATTAATGAGGTGACCTGGCACAGATGATGGTGTCAGATGGCCCTGTAGCTGGGCTCCCAGGGCCTAGTCAGAACCCTGGTCCCCTCAGGAAGGAGCAGAGTCCAGGTTCGACCAGCACTTTTTTGGCTGCTTTAGTGTGTGTCCTCTGAATTATTTTCAAAGCCCTTCATACTGAAATGTGAATATTCTGGAAAGCAGGTCCCCAATTCTGAGAATTGCAATGTGGGGGCACTGATGATAGAGATTCACATTTGTTGCAGCTCCTATTCCTCCTAGCAGTTCAGATATGGGCTTCCCTGGTTCCCAGGGTTTCAAATTTTCCACTTGTCATCAACATTCAGGGCTTGTCCAACCTGTCCTCTCCTGAGTCCTCCGTCGCTCCCTCCTCCTTTCCTGCCAGTGCCTGGTGCATATCAATTGAGGGCAGCTCCTCACAAGGATAGGGCTCTTCCTTCCAGTGCCAAAGTACAGTTAGGTAGGGAGTGGGCTTCAGGCCATACCATGCAGGGCTCACTCAGCAGTGGCCCAATGGGCAGCTGGTATCCAGTAAGTTGATGATGCCCTGTGTTAGCCGGGTGTGAATGTCTCCAGTGCTATACCTCTGGGGGCAAGATGGGGTGCAAGTCTAAAGAAGATTATCTCACCCCAAAGCAACCTTTTAGGCTGCCAAGGAGACTAGTTGGGATAGAATTTTGTTAAAAGGTATTCTTGGCCCTATCTTATTATTCTGATAAGATGGCACTCGTGACTCAGTGACTCGTGACACAGTGCCAAGCTTCTGCCAGTGAATTAAAAACTGGGATACAAGGCTCCAAAGAGGAGAGCGGCAGCCTTTCTGAGCCTGAGCTTGGAGTGAACTCAGTGCAAAGTTTGGGAGCTGGGCTTGAAGAAGGACTGTTCCCTTCTGGAGACAAAGCAATCGTGAAGAACTCAGTTCCGTGGTGCAAAACACCACAGGAGAGGAAGAATGCGTCCTGGCATACCATCTCACAGGAGGGTGATGAACTACAAGGCCTCACATGAGTCAAAATAGCTAGAAGAGAGGATTTTGAATTCTCATCCCAAAGAAATGGTAAATGTTTGAGATGGTGGAGAACTTAAATATCCTGAACAGATCATTATACAGTGTATGCAGGAACCAAAGTTTCACACTGCGCTCCATAAATACACATAATCATTTGTACATTAAAATTAATTAATTAGAAAAGGAACTTGGCTACAGTTGAGGTCTCATGTTGCAAACACTATAGGAGACAGTTCTTAGTCTTTTGGAGTGTCCGTCTGGGAAAAGGTACAAGGCCTATTTGATCTGGGCCGGGACTATTACATTGTAGCGATTGTTTGGCCAGCTGTACACAATGTTTTCTGAATGGTCTGAGCCTGCATCTGTGTTACTAGAACTTCCATGTCCCCATTGAAGGGACAACTTTGGGAAGCAGGGCAGTGCCCAAGAGGTCCAGCAAGAGGTCTAGACCCTGGCTACTACTCAGGAAGCGCAGCTGTTTCTGACTTGAGAATGCTCCAGTCTTGGAGGACAAATGGGAAAACAGGGCTGTCTATCGCCTGGGACTTCATCACGGCGCCCTTTTCACAGGTCTTACAGTTCAGGAACCCGCAGTGGCCTGGGCAGGTGATAAGCAAGCAAGATGTCACGATCTTGGGAGAGGGGATTTCAGGAGGGGACAAATGACTTGGAATCCTGCTTTCTGAGAATGGAAACAGATGTGTTTCTCTTTGCTGGCCACCACCACTACGGCTTCCAGGCTCCAGCTGGGTGTGGACTCCATTGGAAGTAGATCAGACTCTGCCAGTAATGCTGCTGGGGTCCCCTTAAGAGAGGCCAGGTCTCCTTTATCAAAGCAAGCTGTGCAGTGGCAGCTTTAGAGGATTCTCAGAAATCACTACCCACTCCTTCACCTGCTTTAAGAGTGCCCCTCAGTCCCACCAGGAAGGGCTGCCCATTAAGACCACGTCAGCCTGTTCATCATAGGTCAGCCCCAAGTTCTAAGTCACTCTTGCACCCCTGCATCTGCACTGTTGGTCCTCTTGCAACTTGAACTCATTGGTCCTCATTCTTTGACTGGCACCACCCAGAGCAGGTCTGTTTTCTCCCCTGCAAGTACTTTCCAAATATTAAAGAGTGGCTGGCATGTCCCTGCCAAGGGCTCTATACTTAAAAGTAAAAACCCTTGGTTTCTTATAAGGTAAAAAATTCCTATCTGCCAGGTACAATGTCACACATCTTGTACGTCTTATACTCCATTGGAGTTAACCCTCATTAGAAGTCAGTGTTATTATCGTCCTTTGGTAAGTGAGTAACCTGAGACTCAGTGAATCCAGTCATTTGCTCAAGGCTACCCAGCTAGTGAGCTGTATTAGAATCCAGGCTTGTCTCATTTTGGAAATGAAGTCTTTCCCTTTCTACCGTGTTGGGAAATTATGACTACTACTAATAAGGGTTATCATTTACCATGTGGCCAGCAGTTTGAAAACACAATCTCTAGCCCTGATCACTGTTCTGCACTGCATGTACAATTGTGTTATTATTTTAATTGAATTACCAGTCTTGTCTGAAGTGAGCAAACTGAAGTCCAGAGGGTTGAGGAACGTGCCCACTCTCACAGATGAGCAAGAGCAGAGCAGGATAGAAACCAAGCCTGCCTGGTTCCCCTCATGGCATCCAGAGCCTCCTCAATTTGGCAGCAAGAGGCAGATGAGGAGCACAGAGGTGCTCAGTCAAGTTATGAGCCCTGGGGCAGTGCTTTTGGCTGTAGTGTAAGACCTTCAAGGTCAGAATCATCTGAGATGCTTCTTATGCATGGCGCATAACTTGAAATCACCCTCCATCGATGAGGGGATGCTAGCGCCCTCCTTCTAGAGGCAAACCCTTTGCTCTCTTTGCCAGCCTTCCCTTCTCCTGACTCCACTCCCAAGGCCCTCTAGCCTTCCTCTCTGATCTCCTAGCATGGCTTGGGCCCTTCCCTAGTGACAGAAATGGCACTGTCTTCCCTCTCACATTGCATGCTTGTCCTTTGCTCACCTGGAAAGAAAATGTCATCCTCAATGCCCAGGGGTGCCTATAGCACTAAGAAAATGTGCCGTCACAGAATTTGGGCCTCTGCTCCCTCTGACCTCTCTGTGAGCAACACCATCCCAACACAGCGCTTACCTGGGTGGCCCAGGTCCCCTTTATCTCCCTTCGCACCAGTTTCCCCTTTGGGGCCAATGAAACCTCCGTCGCCTTTGCTGCCTTTCTCCCCTTGAGGTCCTGCTATGCCTGTGAAGAGAAGAGCCGGTGAGGGGCTCCCACCGCCCCCAGGATGGGGGCCTGGGAAAAGCAAGTAGTATCTGGAGGGAGGGGAAAGTGTGCGCAGTGGGGACGTGTTGGCTCAGTCCTGGCTGGTCTTGCTGAGTAGACTAGGACTTGAGAGAAGAGGACTGTGTTCGCCCTCAGGGACAGGGCTGGGACTATGTAGAGAGGACATTAGGGCAGCTGCGCCCAGGCCTTAAACGGGGGACCCCTGACCTCAGGAGGGGAAGCCCAAGTTACCAGCAGCTCCTTGCTCCCCGGGCACACCCTTGGGTCCTTGGAGGCCTGTGGAGAAGGAAGGAAGCTCAGTTGCTGTGGGCCAGGCTCTTCCATTAGCTGACATTCTGGATCCCCTGTGGTAGACAACGTGCCCTTTGCAAGACCCCCTCCCCATGCACATACACCTAGGGCAGAGCCCCAGGTGGGTCCGGGAGGAGTTCTCTTTCTTTTGCCAAAGACAGGACAGCACCTGGGAATGTGTCCAAGAGGAATGGAAGAAAAACTTTTAGGGTAAAATGAGTGGTTTGGAATCATAGCTCTGCTACCGGGCAGGCTGGTGACTTTGGAAATGTCGTGTAAGTACTCCACACTTCTATTTTCTTGGCTGTAAGATGGAGCTGGCCATAACTGGATCTCAGCAGGGATCCTATGCTAGTATAGGGCATGTGGGAGGTTTTTCTAGCCTTTCCTGGGGGACCTAGCAGTGCCCCAAGGTGAAAGCGGGTGGGCTCTGGGCTCACACTGCCCACAGCACTGCTGCAGCTGTGTCTTCAGTCTGTCTTAAGTCTGTGGGTTCCATGCAGGACTGGGCTGAAAGAAGTGCTGTCCAGTCAGAGGTCAGCATGCTGAAGAGGAGCTAGACTCCAGGCTCCATTCCTGCTTGGAGCACATCACTGAGTCCTTGGGCTCTGGCTCTTCATTTCAAGCCGGCTTCCCTGGATGCTGTTTGGAAAGCTCTAGAAACCAAGACCAAGTCCTTTTCTCTCCAAGCGGGGAGGAAGGAGGAGGAGCCACTGCCCTCAGAGTGAGCCTGCCTTGCTCCAAGCTCCCGAAGGCTGAGTATGAGAGCATTTGTGATCAGGTTGTGTGAGCGTGAGCCTGAGAGTGTGTATGAGTACGTATGTGTACGACTATGTGTGCTTGTGCATGAGAATTTGAGTATGTGCATAACTAAGCACAGATATACACATATATGAGTGAGTGTTTAGGAGCATGTGGGTGTGCAAGTGTGTGGTGTGTGAGTGTGAGAATGTGATTATGTGTATAGATGTGTGGCTGCAAATGAGTGTGGATGAACATGTGTGAACACATGCATGTGTGTGAGAGAGATGTTGGTGAGCTGTGTGTGCCCCTCACTGCATCGTAAACTTCTCTTCCTACTGCTTAAAACCTCTGAGAAAAATGCCCACTCGAAACTTAGAACAATAGGTTTTTGGGAACCCGTCTACTACATTTCTTCCAGAAGTCAGTTCCCTGCTAGATCCCCCTGCTGACAAATTACCTTTCTGTGCCTGCTGCTGTTTTCTTTCTGCCTCTGCAGCCCAAAGCCTAGAGCGTGTGGCTTGCTTACTTCCCCTTCCTTGGAAATCCTCTGGCTCTGCTCTCCCAGAGATCTTATTGTCTTTGCATCTTTACAGAGCTGCTGCTGCAGTCCTGGGGAATTCGGGGCTGGAGGGTGGGGGTGGAGAGCAGGGTGGACTGTAACAGTCACCGGCTCTGGTCTGGGTATGTCCTCTGGGGAGGGACAGCTGGGCCCACTCCCTGTCTGACTGGGTCATGGGTAAGACCCTGGGCAGGTCTAAACTACAGCCTAAAGAATAGAGCCTAATACTTTCCTGGCAAAGATCATGGGTTCAAATCATTATCCAGAGCCCCCAGCACCCTGAGGCTTAGGCGACAGCCAGCGGCACAGCGGCACATGGGCTGGGCTCTCAAGTTCCTGCTGGGTGGAGGAGCCTGACTTTCCTCACAGTGCTCTTTGGTTTGATTGCCCCAGCCCAGAGGACCAGGCAGTAGTGTTCCGGCCTCCCAGGCCTCCCAGACCAGGCGCCATCTCTCAGTGCCCCCTAAGCACTGCAGCCCTGCCCTGCCCTCCTGCCATGCAGGTTACTTCCTTCTACCTCTCAACCCATCCCAAGTCTTGGGGAGGCCAGCAGCCTCACAGACCCCAGGGAGCTTAAACTGCAGCCTGGGCGATGTCCACAGCCAGGGCCCCATACTGAGAAAACCAGCTGCAAATTTCTTCCTACTTACCGGGATCTCCCTTCCTGCCTGGTGGGCCTTGGAGTCCCAGGAGACCTGGAAGGGAAAGGGAGCTCAGAGCGTGCCCTGCACAAAGCAGGGGCAAGACTACAGAGCCAAGAGAGAGAGCCATACCTGGGCTTCCAGCCGGTCCCACTGCCCCCTTGTCTCCCTTCTCGCCTGGCCTTCCAGGCACACCGGCGGTTCCCTTTGGACCTGGAAGACAGGAGGAGAAGGAGCAAGAAACACAAATGAGCCAGCTAGATGGGGTGGGAAATAATGCCACTCACTCAATCATTCACTCAACAAACTCTCACCGAGTGTCATGGGCAAGCTAAACTGTGTGGAAGGAAAAGCAGAAGATGAAGACAAGAATCCTTCCTACAAGACGCTCATGGCCAGGGCTGGGGATGTGGCCCAGAGGTGGAGTGCGCGCCTCGCCTGTGTGAGACTCTGGAATTAATCCTTACCACCATGGACGGAAGAAAAAAAGAAAGTGAGGGTAGGATAGTTCATGGCCTAGAAGGCAAAAACAAACCAAAAAAACCTTGCAGAGATGTCTTCTTAGAGAGGCTGAGTCACACAGATCTGGGCTCAAGGCCTGGAAGGCATTATGCAAGTTACTTCGTCTTTCTGAGCCTCAGCTTCCTGGCCACTAGGATGGGTTTACTGTGCTTGTTGTGTGGAGCTGTCCTGAGGTGACCGCATGGAGATCTCTCAGGTAAAACTCCTAAGGCAAGCTAAGGGGCACGGGACCAATTAGTTCTGCAAGTCACGCAGTGCTCTACCATTCCCAGGGAGTGCTTTCCAGGCAGAGTGCAAGTGAGTCTCACAACAACACAGGTGGGCAGCACACGGCTGCTTGTTCCCAAGTCACCAGGGCGGGGACTGGCATGCTGAAAGGCTTGGGGCTTGCCTGAGGCCACATGTTGGGAGGGAGGCTGCTGGGTTCCAGGCGTCCCAGGGGTAAAGCCTTTGCCCTGGGAAGGCCTTGGTGGGAACTGGCAGTGAGCTTTCTAACTCGCAGCAGAAGTGCACTGCAGTTTGAAAGACCCAGAATGTTGTAGCGTGTTGTGGGGCCCAGAAGATGGAAGCAGGATCAAGGACTAGAACCTTCACTGAACATGGGGTCCTTTGTGGTGTATCTCAGGAGAAAGAATCCATTGAGGATGTAACAGTTACCCTCTCCTCAAGGTCTGCACTTGGCCCGGCCCTGGCTTACTTGTCTGTGACATAATAGCAACACCAATCTCCCAGAGTTCTTGGGGACAGAACTCTGGGGTGGTGGGACATGGGACACCCAGAGAAAGAGAGCTCTCTGTGCTCTTTAGGCAAAAGGCAGAGGTCAGAGCCTCAGAGGGATCATGGCAGAGGGGACAACTGACCCTGCAGAACTGACCCTCCCCAAGCAGACCAAGATTGGAAGCTTCTGGCCCAGCACTTCTGCGAAAAAGTACCCACTTTCTGCCAGACTGGGTCCGGGACCCTCCTAGGGGCTTCCCAGGGTGAACCCCTAGGATCCTGCCCCTGTCGGCATTGCCCCTGTTCTCTCATGGTGGCCTGGCCCTTGGCTCAGGAGTCCCACTTGGCTCCTCCAAATCTGCCTGCACCATCCTGAGGAAGTGGATGTACCTCTGAGCCTCAATTTCTTTAACTATGAAATGGGGATAACGCCAATAGCTGCTTGGAGTTAATGTAAAGCCTCAGCAAGGCACAAAGGGTATGTGTTTTGTGCTTTTCCAAGGGTGCCTACCCACCTCACCCTACTCTGGACCTGCCCGGGACATGCTCACTTCAGCTCTCTCCTCTGCTTCCTTGCTTTAGGACTTCATGCATAAAGCCTTCCTTCTCTGTGTTCCTGACTCACCAAGCTCCCTGCTCTGCCTCAGGGCCTTTGCACAGGCAGCTTTTGGGGGTGTATTTCCTGGCAACCTTCTTTGGCCTGGGGGGGTGAGGGCCCTGTACACTTCCTCACACAAGGGTCTGTCTGCCTTATTGTGCAAAGCACCTTGTCCCACCATGCCTTGCTCCTCCCTAAAGGGGAAGGTCAGAGAGGGCAAGGCCTTGTATACTTCCTGTCTTGATTTCTAGTGCCTATGGCAGTAGCTCCTCCTTACAGAGATTTCAATAAACCTTTGTTGGGAGGAAGGAAAGAAGTCTAGAATGGGTAGGGGAGGGAAAAGAGGGACAGGTAAGCTCCACAACACTCCTCCAGAAGCTTGGCTGGGGGGTTATTTTCCCCACTGTGTCCAGAAACCTGGGCTGAGGGTTGAACTGGCAGCAGCTGCTGTGGTCTGTGCAAAACAAGGAACTTGTTCTGAGCTCCACACCCCTTCCCCTGCCTTCCAATGCTTCTCCAGTGAATCTGATCACAAAAGGAGCCTTTGGGGAGTACTGACCAGGCAAGACGAGGCAAGCCATGGGGAGGGGGACCGAGGCCACAACCTGCTGATGGCTGGGGGTTGGGTGGGGAATCTGGGAAGGCAGGTAGTGCCCCAGCTCCTAGAAGTGCTGTTTCCTGTCTCTGCTCTTTGGGCTCCAGAAGACGAGGAGTGGGGAGAGGGAAAAGGAGAGGGAGAAGGAGAGGGAGAGAAGTCAGAGATGGACAGACGGAGAGACTGAGAGATACGAGAAGATGGAGTTGGAGAGTCTGTAGACCTTCAGCATCTTCCAGTCCTACATTCTCAGATTTAACCAACCATGGATTGAAAATATTTGGGGATAATCTGTCTCTGTGCTATGCATGCATAAACTTTCTTCTTTGTCATTTTCTAAACAATACGTCAACCATTTACATAGCATTTACATTATATTCGGTATTATAAGTAACCTGAAAGGCTTTAAAATATACAGCAGAATGTGTATAGGTTATATGCAAATATGATGCCATTTTATACAAAGGGTGTTAGCTTCTGCTCATTTGGGTATCCGTGGAGGCCCTGGAGCCAAGAGAGACAGACAGACAGACTGGAAGGCCACAGTGGGCTCTGGCTCCCCATCCGGACCTGGAGCTCTGAGCCTAGTGGTGGTAGTAGTGGTGGGGTGACAGGGTCGATTTTCAAGATCAGACCAACTCCATTGGGTTGAGAGAAGGAAACGCTGATACCATCAGCTGAAGTGACAGAAGTTGTCAGAAAAGCAGCTCCTTACAGGAGAGGAGCCAATATTCCTCAGTTGGGGGCTGTCCAAAATCCTTTTCATCTTTCCATTAAAAGAATCACAGCAGGGGCTGGGGATTTAGCTCAGTGGCACAGTGCCTGACTGGCAAGTGCAAGGTCCTGAGTTCGAGTCCTGATACCAGAAAAAAACAACAACAAAAAAGAATCACAGCAATAGCCAGTACTAAGAATAACATCTCTACAGTGTGCTGACTCTATGCTGGGCACTGGATGGGCCTTTTACAGAAACTGCTGTATCCCGCGTTCATCTGATCATTGGTCCCCTCTGATCATTGGGGAGGAAGGAGCTCAGAATGTTAAATGACTTACTTGGTGTCATCCATCCTGTGAAAGGCAGAGCCAAGGCTTGTGTTTAGCTCTGCCAGCCATCAAGTTCACCCTCCTGCACTGTACAGGGCTGCCTCACAGCTTTCCCTGGCCAGAGGGGAGGTGGGCCATGCCTAAGAAGCCACGGTGCTGAGGACTCTGTCCCACAAACATCAAGAGTATTTGTCCTCTGGGTAAAATTTCAACTACCTAGCTGCTGGAATGCAACAAGGTTGTGAGGGACATATGGGTACACAAGTGTGTGCACGTGTGCATCACAACACACATGTGGGCTGAGGAGGGGAAAGAGAGAGCAGATAACCACAGGCTTTATCCTAAAAAACACAGGCTACTGTCTGGCATCTTTTTTCACATCATCCCCCTAAGTCTTAAAACAGCCTTATGAGGCGAGCCCAGTGATCACCATTACTTTCCACACTAGTAGAGACTGAGGGTCCAGCAAGTTCTGTCCCAGGCAGGGCTACAGCGATGGGACTGTGCCCTGCAGGAGACATAAGACAAGCACCTATGGGAGTGAGCACACCACGCTGGTGATAAGCCCTAAGTGACAGGTGAAAGGGCTTAAGGGAGAGAAGGAGAGAGGCTCTTAAAAGCTGGGATGCTGGGGAGAGGGAGCAGAGGGCATGGGCTTGGACTCTGTGGGAAGATGGTGAGGTTTGGATGGGAGGAGTAAGAGAGGAGGAAGTCATTTGCAGCAAGGAGAGGGCAGAGGCCAGGAGCTGGTCAAGGAGCAAAGAGGTGATGCCATTGAAGTCTGCTGAAAGGTAAGGTGAGATCGACTAGACATAGCCCCAGATTGGTCAAGCCCAAGGAGCCCTTGGGGGAAGGTTTTGGGAGGGCACAATGAACCTACCTGGGGCGCCTTGTTCACCTTTGATCCCGTGTAACTCTACAAGGGAAGGAGACAGGGTTTCAGGCTCTCAGGCAGCAAGCTGGTCTGACCTAAGGAAGTGTGTGTGGGGCTTTGGTTTAGTCTGCACACTCTTCCAGGGGTCCCAGGCTGTACCTTGGACAGCTGTCCCCCTACACTGTGTGGGGAGCAGAGGCTTCAGCTAGACTAGAGAGACAGGCTTCAAACTCCTGGGTGTGTCCAGGAGAAAGGCCTTGGAAAGCACCTGCTGTTTCACCCAGGAGCTGCAGATACCTAGGAGCTGCAGGAGTGGGGAAGAGGGCTGGACTGCCTTTGCGCACCAGACTTTGTCTGATCCAGCTTGCAGAGGCTCCTGGGGTTGAGCAAGCGCCTTCTCATGTTGGCCCAAACAGCTCCTTCACATTTCAAGCGAGGGAGAACACCCCTACTCTGTTCATCTGCCTGCAGCTACAGGTTCTACTCATAGCCTCAGTGAGCCTTTGCTTTGCTCCCTGGGGAGGCCACACCTTCTGGAGGGATTTATCCTCCTGGACTTGTGTCTCATGGGATCACCCTCATAAGCTCGAGCTTACTGGGACGCTGGAGCCAGAGCAAGGAGCTCTGCTGGGGCTGGAGGTCCAAGTCACAGTGTGACAGTCGGGTTGCCCCCTGGGAACTGCTGAGAGTGAAGTGTTTCCCATTCTGGGACAGCCTGAGAGAAGAAAGGGTGCAGCTGTAAGGCCCTGAGAGCCGAGGAAGAGGGTTGGCATTTCCACCTCTGGTTCCTTTTCCTCCTGTGCTCGACTACTGTACATTCAAGCCCCGATGTTTCCCCCAGCTGCCATCCCCTGTCCAAAGACCCCATGTTGTCTGGACTAGCTTAGAGCCCTCATTGCTCCCTCCCCACCTACAGGCCACTGTGAGTCAGCTATACAGATGAGTTCCAGGAACTCGCCCAGGCTCTGCATTTTACTCACTTACATGGTCAGGATCTGTCTGGGCACTTTGTGACCCAGACCCGAGCCTGGACTGGTTGCTCCACCCCCGACCTCTCAGAGCCCTCTTTGGATTGGGCTTCTGGTTCCCCGGTTTCTGACCTTTCTGTTTCTATGGCCCTAACTGTGGCCTCCCCCGTGGTCTGTGTGCTGCAGCAACATTCTCCTCATTTCATACCATCTCTCAGGACCCTCACCTACTGCCTTGTCCCCAAAGTCCCCCACAGGCCAGATCCTGGAATCCCTCTTTCCAAGGAAAGAGATTCATGAAAACCAACATCTCTGAGAAGTCCCAGCCCAGAGAGGAGGAAGCCAAACCTGCATTGCGAGTGAAGTCCTCCACCCGCTGCAACATGTGCTCCTGTCTGGCTTGGACTTCCGTGATCTGGGCCTGTAGGTCTTGCAGCCTCAGTGCGCTCTGAGCCTTGTGCACTGGATGTGCCAAGCGCAGGAAGGAGAAGGACTTTTCCGGAAGAGCAAACGTTTCATTGGAGCAGTTGTATGTCTCCAGGATCTGGAGCCGCCACTGCAGTTCCTGGACTGGACCCCACACATACACACACAGCATTACTTTACGGACCTCATTGAAGCCGATCCCTGGCACTCTTTTGTCACATGTATGTGACTTCTGTGTACCCTACATTCATAAACACAAGCTCCATGTGCTGCTGGAACCTGGTGTGAGCACAGAGTTCATTCTGTACCTGAGCATGTATCCTCCTCCACACTCCTTACACATCCCTGGAACATTCCTTAAAGCTGTGCCCATGGCATCCACCCTCAATCTCTTAACCTCATGCAGTCAGACTTCTCTGTATGCTCTGGGTGTGAATTTGTGACAACCAGCATGCTGGTCTGACCTAAGGATGTTCAAGCAACATTCAGGGGTGATCTTCATATGCTGCTGACAAGTGTTTGCGACAACTGTGTACACAACATGTTTGGGTGACATCAGTATCTGCTGATGGAACTGACTCACTGGCTTTGACATTTGGATGGGAATATTTTGGAAGTAAAATCATGTTCAGGCAAACAGTTAAAGTGACAAAGCCCTTTCCCACCCAGTGTCTGGGAATCATTTAGGTCAGATGCTGATGGTGAACCACACATGAAACCATGGCATCTTCACTGCTTCTTACTCACAAGTTCCAATGTGCATTCTCACCCTCTTCCTGCACAGACTACTTTTCACTCTCCCGTCACTGTGGGGACCCAGGGGACTGAGCACTCTTTCCAAGCAGATGGGTACCTGGAGCCCCCAGAACTGTCCCTTCAGCCTGAGTCCCTGCATCAGAGGAGTCCAGTATGGGACCACACAGAACAAAGACTGCTCTACCTTGGAACTCCAGCAGCACAGCAGCTGCTGTGAGCAGAATCAGGTAGATGATGATCACTGTAGTCATGATGAAGTTCACCCCATTTTTCTTCCTGGGTTTCAAATCTGAAACACAAGCCCAGCAGAAGGTGATAGCTACAAAAAGGCACAAAGCAGAGGGCCCAGTCTGTGCCCAGCCACCTCGGTGCCAGCAGTGGCTCCCTTGGAAGTCCCATGGGAAAGACACCAGGCCCACAGCCTCCCAGTTCTTCCCCCATCCAATTTTTTGCCACAAGGTAAGAAGTACTATGCTACTCACCCATCTGTGTGGCAGAGCAATCAACCTTTGTGCTATGTGTTACCAGTCGGGAGAAGTGTCACATGGACCTCCTTTGCTATTCCGTGTGACATTTGGCCCATACTTGGGTTCTCAGCTAGTGTTTATGGAATGAAATTCTGAATTTATATGTTTGAATTTCCAAAGTCTTGGTGGGGTAAGATTGCTCTCATTTTATAAACAACCAGCAAAGTTTAGAGAATCGAATAACTTGTTAGGTTATAGGATGCGGCTCTGGAATTCGTGCTCATGTCTTTCTTTTTCTTTAGATTTTTAAATCATAAAAGGAAAGCATGCTTGATGTAGTCTATTAAGCAATATAGGTAGAATGACAAGAGTTAATGACCTGGCCTGAATTCCCTGAAGTCCTACCTTGCTGAGGTGAGCTTTATTAGCTTTCTGAGCATGTGTTCACACGTGTTCACACAATTCCACAGGCCATACACAGTTATCCTCTGCTGTGCACTGGGAACTGTTTCCAAGGCCCCACAAGGATACCAAACTCCAGATATGCTCAAATATCTTCCCATGTTTTCAACCACCTCTAAATTACTTATAATATCTAATGCAACCTAAATGCTACATAAATAGTTGTTATACTATTGTTTAGAAAATGCAAAAAAAGTCTGTACAAGTGCAGTTCAATCTTTTTGCTAGTATTTTTGATCATTGATTGAATTTACAGTTGGAAAGTCCTCAGATACAGAGATCCACTGTGGAATCTGTCCACTATAGGACAGACACTTTTTTTCTTTTTAATCTTACACAAATGATATCACAGTACATATAATACACATATGGCACAGTACATCTAATACACATACTGCTCTTTACAAATGAATGACTTTCATGCCTCTGGTTTCTCATGAAGAAAGACATTAAGTAATTTTTTTTAGTAGCTGTCTAACAGCCCTGAGTGGCAAAAGCAGTAGTTCCCAGAGATATTTCTCTTTTAAGAACTGCCTCCAGTTTGGGGCATTACAAAAGAAATTGTAATAAATCTTTTCAGGGGCCCCTGGCTCCAGACTTATGTCTGCTGTCACATTTCAGAGTTCAAGGGAGTGGAGGCAGCCCACACAAGGCCCTGCAGTTCCCACCACTCATATTAATTGGGCATCCACTCCACTTCATGCTGAGCATTTACCATCATCATCTTGGACCCTTGTAGTGACCCTGCAAGGGGGTGTGGGAATTCCCTACCATGCAGGAGAACTGGGGCTGGGGGAAGTTAACGAGGTGTCAAGGATACATGACCCCAGATCTCTCTAACTCAAAATTCTGAGTTCACACCGCTAGCCTACAGCAACTGCTATCCCTGAGAACAGTCCAGTTGAAGTGGGTCTGAGGACATCTCTGAAGGGAAAGGAGATCACGAGTGGGCAGACTACAGAAAGAAAGTGTATGGGAGATGAACCCTACTTTTCCTTTGTGATAGGTGGAGCTGTGTTTTCAGGTGACTATTCTGACAGATTTGTATGAAGCTCGGGACTTTTCTCCGACACCTGTTGAACTTGGGTCACCCTGCTGATATTCCTCCCCACCACCTGCAGGACAGATCCCTGCTTAAAAATTACCCTGATGTGTGGTGGGCTCAGGGTATCTCTGGCTGTGCCAAAAGGAGTGGTTTTGTTGGTTGCTTGCTTGCTTAGTTTCTCAAGTTAGTGGGACTTAGTGATACTCAGTCTAGCACAAAGTCTCCCCCTCCTCTGCTGCATCCCAGAGCTCATGCTTCTATAGTACTCAGACTGAGTACCTCAGCACACAGCCTGCCAAGTCACTCCAGCCATCAGTCCCAGTGGCTGCTCACTGTCTTCAGAAAACAACTCCTCACTGGGCACAGGAAGTCCTTCTCTGCTGTGCTGCCTCTCCATCGCACATCACTTGAATCCTGATGACTTTGTGACTAGGGGCAAGCCATGTCTTCTGCATCCAGGGCCCTTCCTCCTCCTTTTCCTGTGGCTAGTTCCTGCTCAACCTTTGTGAGTCCAGTCTAGTCTTTTCTGCTCCTAGATACCTCCTCTGGTTCCCCTTGGCTGCATGCAACTCCTTCTGTTTCCCTCTGCTGTTGCATTCATCACCCTGTATTGCGTCTGTAGATGTGTCAATCTCCCCCAAAGGCCTGGAAGCTTCTTGAGCTGCCTTTCTGAATTAACATGGAGTCTGGCACACAGGATGTGCTGGAAGGTGATGATTGAATGAAAGGGTGCAGAGGGTTGTGTGTTCAACATGTTCAGAGCTGAATGTCAGCAGTTTAGAAGTGTTGGGAGGACTTTAGGAATGTAGTTCAGAGTCATGGGGAGTCATAGAGCCATCGCGGAGAGGATGGGGGACATTCAAGGGAAGCCTCACATTTAACACAAGATATGCTTCCATAGACAGTAGTAAAACTGCAAAGAAGTAATATGTGGTGTGAATGAGAAGGTAAGCTGTGCTCTAGAACAAGTTAAGGTGGGCGTGACAGCCATCATGGAAAATACAGATATTCTAAAACAAGATGACAAGAATGTGATGGAAGGCATTTCAGTAAAGATAAAATGAGGAAGAAGAGGTAGGGTAATATTGTGAGAGTAATGTATGAATGTCAGGTGAGGCCCAGAATGCTTTTATAATTCAGAACTACTTGCTGGCATATTAGCAGTTATTTTTGGAACTGGGGGCTTGGTATTTGTGGGTATATCTAACTCACTTTGTACAAAATGGAGCACCTGATAGTATTCACCTTCTACACTGATCATTTCATTTCTTTGATGGTGGAAAAAATCATAAAGAAAATGTTTATTCTAGATTGGCTTTGACCAGTTAGGAAGGGGTGCTTGCTATGAGAATGAAAAGAGCCTCTGATAGGCCAGAATTGTGTCCCTGGAGTAAACTATGGAGTCTGGACAGAGCGTTTTGTGAAACAGTCTTCAGAAATTTGATATCTCCATTGTCTGACTTACAATGAAGATATGGCTCCAGAGGGAAATAAGAATGATGTTTCAATTCCATAAAAAATTCAAATGAAGAAAAAAGGCTGCATACCAACACTGGTCTTCCCAGGCTTGCCATCCTACAGTGGCAGAAGGGCCCTGGTAGATGTGGCACTGTCATACAAGCAGGAGGCTCTCCTCCTTGAACCCAACACTGGGCTAGCTGGTGAGCAGACACACATGTTTGCCCTGAAGGCCTGATCTACTGCACCCCCTACCAAGCAGCCCTGGGCACCCTGAGGAAGCACCTTCTGCTCTTGCAAGCAGAACCAGGGAGCATCAGTGCTACCTGGTGAACAAGGTAGACCAGAAGGGCACAGACAGGGCTTTGAAACCCTCCGTCATCCTCCTGAACTAGAGCAGTTAAGTTTGATCCAGTCATCTAATATTCTTTACCAAATGTCTAATATGTTATGAAAAATCACTATTCACACCAAGCACGACCCCAATAAGAAGAGAAGCCAGCACTGAGATGACATAGATATTGGAATTAGTCAACAAAATTTTTAAAGTCACAATGAGCAATTACAAATACTCTAGAAACAAATTTTTAAAAATCTCATCAAATATATAAGATACATTGAAGAACCAAATGGAAACTAAGGAACTAACAAACAGCAAAAACTAAAACCAAAAAGTGAAAAAAAAGTACCTTTATATACTCATTAACTGAGCTGAATAATGTGATAAATAGTAATAGAAGAAACAATCAGTGAACTCAATGATGGAACCATTGAAATTACCCAACCTAAAAAACAGATAAAAATCAGTAGAAAAAATCATGAACAGAGCCTCAGAGACCTTCATACCAATAACAAAACACCCAGCATTCATATCATGGGAGACTCAGAAAGAATGCAGGGCTAAAAATCATTCAAAGAAATAATGACTAAAAATTTCCCAAATTTTATGAAATTCACATACCTGCAAATGTAAAAAGTTGAGTAATCTCCAAACATGATAAACCCCAGAAAACATCATAACCTAAAATATGGCAAATATAAAGAGAGAGCAAAGTGTAAATCTGAAGAAAAAGAAAAAATCTTGGAAGCATCAGGAGAATAGACACATTACCTATAAAAGAATAACAATGTGGATGACATTACATTTCTCATCTGTAATTATGGAGACCAGATATAAGTGCACATTATATGTTGTGTGCTGAAAGAAAAGCACCTATGAGTTCTATTACCTATTAAAATATTTTAAAAGATGAATGGGGAAAAAGGCATCCTCATATGAAGAAAAGTGAAGAGAATTTGTAGGCCACAGATGTAACTTTAAAGACTGACTAAAGAAAATTTCCCAAACAAGAATTTATAAGAGAAGTCCTAAAATTTCAAAAGAGAAAAAAGCAACAGAATGGATAACAAAAGACATATTTTAAAGTATCCTTCTTTTTATGAGTTTGTAAAATTATATTGGATAGTGGAAATAATTATAATACTATCTGATGTGATACACAGTGTGTATAAAGGAAATACTTAATATATTTTATAAGTGAAGAAGGTAAAAAAACATAAATGGAGGTAAGATTTCTACATATGACTTGAAGTAATAAAGTGTCAGTACCAGTAGATACATTCTATATGTATATTACAATACACAAAGAGACCTTTAGGAAAACTGTTCAAAGTGATATAGTCAGAAATGCTTAGATAAACTGCAGTGAAATTTTTGTAAAGTGTTCAAACAATCCATTGGAAGGTAACAAAAGAGAAGTGATAAACAGAAAGAGAAACAGAATTATACAATAAGATGACAGATTTAAACCCTGATAATCAATAATTACCTCACATATATATAGGCAAATATGAGAA